TGCTCCCTGCTGCTCACTGAGGCTTGATACTCACAATTCGGGAAGGAAGAAGGAAAAGGATAAAATATCTGCTTAGAACGCTTTATTTTTATTTGAGAGAGAAATCCCTTCCCAATTAGCAAGCCTCTGCCAATATCTCACTGACCAAAACTGGACTCACGGTAATGTAGCCAGCAACCAAGGAGATATTCTTACATTTGCCTCTACTGTTCTGTTAGTCTGGACTAGATGTTTTTCTTTCTCTTCATCAGTAGAGTCATCATTTCCCACCAAGATCTGAATGAAATTCTTATGAAAAAACTTGATTAGTGATTCACCATACATGTATAGTGTTTACAGTAACCTTATACTATTATTTGTTGTTCTGTATTTTCTGCTTATATTTACTCACCCTAATAAAAATGACACCATATTGAAATCTACTTGAATTCTACAGCTTACAACACAGTTACCATCTACCTCACACATACACACCAACACACATACTCTCTAGAGCCAAGTCCAGAGCTGAGAAAACAACTGTTCGATAAACACCATTAGAGAGTGTCAACAACTCTTATAATTGGAGGACTCGGTTTCATCCCTTTCTGTAAAATTCATTATCTTATTTCTTATGATTTTTGCTGATGTGTTATTCTTAATGAAATATAATTTTTAATCATGTTTTACATACACGGGAAAAAATAAGAGTACAAAAACACTGAAATGAAATATAAATGTGTCATTCTTTGCTCCTTCTCATGATAATCCAGTGTCACAGAGGCAACCACTTTTTTTTCTGCTATTCTAATTTTTTTTTCAATTACAGTTTACATTCAATACTATTTTGCATTAGTTTCAGGTGTACAGCATAGTGGTTAGATAATCATATACTTTACAAAGTGTTCCTCCTGATATTTCCACTGAACCCCATACATAGTTATTACAATAATATTGACTATATCCCCATGACTATTTTGTAACTACCAGTCTTTACTTCTCAATATTTTTACCTTTTAACCCAGTCTCCATCCCCCTCCCCTCTGGTAACTATCAGTTTGTTCTCTATATCTATAAGGCTGTTTCAATGTTGTTTATTTTGTTTAGATTCCACATATAGTGAAATTATATGGTATTTATCTTTCTCTGTCTGACTTATTTCACTTTGCATAATAACCTCTAGGTCCATCTGTGCTGTTGCAAATGGTAAGATTTTATTTTTTATGGCCAAATAATATTCCATTGTGTAAATGTAACACTACTTTTTTGATCCACTCATCTATTAATGAGCTCTTGGGTTGTTTCCATATCTTAGTTATTGTGGATAATTTGCCAATGAACATAAAGGTGCATATATTCTTTTGAATTAGTGTTTTGGGTTTCTTTGATATATTCCCAAAAATGAATCACAGGATTATAAGGCAGTTTCTTTTTTTTTGTTTTGAGAAAACTCTGTACTGTTTTCCATAGTGGCTGCACTAATGCGCATTCTCACCAACAGTACACGAGGTTTCCCTTTTCTCCACATCCTCACTAGCACTTGTTGTTTATTGATTTATTGATTATAGACATTATAACAGGTGTGAAGTTATAGCTCACTGTGGTTTTAATTTGCATTTCTCTGATGAATTATGACATTGAGCATCTTTTCATATGTCTATTGGTCATCTGTACGTCCTCTTTAAGTGTCTATTCAGGTCCTTTTTTTATGGATTGTTTTTTGTTTGTTTGTTTGTTTTTTGCTGTTAAGTTGTATTAATTCTTTATAAAGTTTGGATATTAATCCCTTATCCAATGTGTCATTGGCAAATATGTTCTCCCATTCAGTAGGTTGTCTTTCATTTTGTTGCTAGTTTCCTTTGCTGTGCAAAATCTTTTTAGTTTGATGTAGTCCCATGTGTTTATTTTTTCTTTTGTTTTCCTTGTCCGAAGAGATATGTCAGAAAAAAATACTGCTAGGAGAAATGTATGAAATTTTACTGAGGCAACAAATTTCAAGCAATTCACAATATACGTGTATGCCAATTTTATCTTATTTATTAATATTATTATTATTATAACTTTATGCTATAAAATATAAAGAATGTTTATTCCCTCTCCTTCCCTTTACATTTCTTTTCTCAATTTCTGTGTCTTTTAGGTTCTTATTTTTTAAGATTCTGTAAATATTGGTTACATTTAGAATTATAAATAATATATTAAACTATTTCTAATTTCATTATGTTAGACACCTCACAATATTAAACAAGAAAATTAGTGACCCTAGACTTCTCTGATCACTTTATCAATAGAAGACAAGAAGGAGCCACTGATGCTCAAAGTAACTATCTGCTTCTTCAGTTTGTCTCGATAACAAGAGGTCATGAAAGAGCCCAAAGATGATCCCTCTTAATTTTGACACTCACCAACACTATCCATCTTGAAAGTCCTCAGAACTGATCTCATTGCATCAGTCACCCAAAAAGCTTCAGAATTCCAAGTTATCTCTCATTTTTTCTTCTTATTTTCATGTACCATTTTCATACACCTACAATTATCTACCTGTTCCTCTCAGAACCCATTTTCTGAAATGTGCTCTCTTTTTCACTTTGTCCTCTGGAACTTAGAGTCCCACATCACCAAAACCATCTATATTCTCAAAATTGTAAATGAACCTTCTCTTCACCACTGCTCCCTAACCAAAATATAGGTTTGTTCTGAGGACTCTGCTCACCCCCAAAACAATTTAATGTAGCTGTTTACTTTTTTCTCACAACTCTCTGGATATTTGGTAAGTTCTTGCTCCCTTTTAACTTCCAGACCCTCCATCCACTTCTTTCCCTCCAGAAAAAGCAGCTCCAAATTTAATGTTATCGGGCCCTAACACTCAACTGGACCTCATTGCTGTGGTCATACTTACCCTGAGTTACACTGTTCATTTCCAGTGGTTTTAGCTCCTTTCTTATGTTTCAATACTATCCCTGTCTTGAATCATGGTTATTTTTAATACACCCAGAAATGAAGTTTCAAACTTCACACATCCAAAAATTAACTCTTAATTCTTCCCCAAAAACCTTTTCTACCCAGTTTTTCTCATCTGAGATGCTTTTTTTTTTTCATCTGGTACATCCAATTGTTCAGGAAACCATGTTTGTCTGAAAAATGTCTATGGACAGTCCTTCAAGTAACTGGCCTGTATTTTGTCCAGCTACCAACTTGTATTCTTCAAACTTGCAACCAAAGGCTCCTACCTATATTCCAGCTTCCTTCTAAGTACATTCTAGATTAACAGTCTGTTATCCCTAGAGACACTCCCATTCCTTTTCTATTCCATATAAGTAACCATAGTATATTGACACCCACTTGTTACATTCTTCCTTTCCATATTCTCCTCACCATTAGAGGTTTATATCTTTTTATATATATTGACTATAATTTCAGTGTGATGAAGAATAAGGAGAGAGATAAGGACTAGGTACATATGGCTGTTCATTCTAATCTCTTAAACCCAAAACTCTGTTATTATCTATAAAGCTCTTGTCTTATATCCACAGGTTTTAAAATAATACTGTGAGTATATTTAGTTTTGTATGTTTATTTGTTTTATAGAGTAGATTTAGTTTTAAATGTGCTTCTGGGATTTATTAACTTCAGTTTCATAACAAGCTACTTTTAAAAATTTTTTATTCTCTAGGATTGTTTACAAAATCTTAGTACTTGTGTGTTAACTTAGGACACTGTGATTGGCATAGATATTACTCTAAGGAGGCCTCCTGAATCTGTGAAAATGTTCCTTTGACAATATCTTCACTACATGAGCAGCCTTTAAGGACCAGTGTTTTCCTGATATTATTCTTTCACTCTTTGGCTAAGACACTTGTTTTTCAAAGAGAGTAACTTGGTTTGAATTGCTGAGAAATAAAATTCCAACAATCTTTGCTACATGATTTTTAATAACCTGATTCAGTTTGTCAATACTCTGAACAAAATGAACAAATAGATGACATGAATAATAAAGCAGCGAATGGCCTGAAAGCATGTGATGGCACATTGATGAGTAATCTATTTTCAAAGAGTCATGTCTGGAGTGATTAGGAGTTAAAGAATAACTCCTAAATAAAAGAAGACATAGGCTTATTTCATTTGGAAGTAATAAATTTGAATAAAATACTGAAATATTCACATAGGCAGAATGAGAATTTCAATCTCTAAATAACCCCAATATCAAAGCAAAAATTCAATGGAATTAAATAGATTTTCATAAAAGGAAACTTTTAGAATCATTTGGAAAAGAAGATGTGGGAAATATACTCTTATTGTACATAAGTTAATAGAGAAATTGTTGTTTTAACATAAAAATAAAGTGGGCTCTAGCCCTGGATGTTTTACTCAGTTAGCCGGAGCTTCATCCCGTACGCCAAAATGTTGCCAGTTTAATTCCTGGTCAGAGCACACACCTACAATGTGGGTTCAATCCCAGGGAAGCAATTGTTTATCTCTCACATCAATGTTTCTCTCTCTCCCTCCCCCCCCACTTCCTCTCTCTCTAAAAAATAAAAAAAATCAACAAAAACATATCCTCAGGTGAGGATTTAAAAAAAATAATAATAAGCCCTGGCCGGTTTGGCTCAGCGGTTGGAGCGTCGGCCTGCGGTCCAGAGAGACCCGGGTTCGGTTCCCGCTAGGGGCGCGTACCTCGGTTGCAGTTTGTCCCCGGCCCTGGTTGGTCGTGCGGGTGGCAGCCACTCGATGTGATTCTTTCGCGTCGATGTTTCTCTCTCTCTCTCTGTTCCTCTCTCTCCCTCCCACTCTACCTGAACAAAAAAAAAAAGGAAAAATGTCCTTGGGTGAGGATAAAAATAATAATAATAATAATAATAATAATAATAATAATAATAAAGCTGACTGTAATATCCAGTTCTTGGGGTTGTTGTAAATGTCCATCTGAGGAAAACCTCAAGCGCCATCGATGGCTCAAAATATCATCAGTGACCCTTTTTTTTTTTTTAATCTTGATTAAAAAAAAAACAACAACCACCAAACAAAACCACCTTTTTCTAGGTTCTTAAAGATAAGAAAATGTTATCTGAAGTAACTCTATTGATTTTAAATACAATGAAATGTGTTCTCCAACTCTGAGAAACATGATATAATAGGGTATTACAGTTTAGTTTTCAACACATCATTATTTAAAACTTTGGAAATTTGGTCCATTTCTTGGTACTCATTTTCCTTCCCTGTAACTTTTGCCTCTACAGGCACAGTTCCTGAAGCAGCATTTTCACCAGGTAGATGACGCTTCCTCAAAATAATTAGGATCCAAATGGCTGGAATAACGCTTAATCCTCTTAGCGCTGCTGGCAATCCAAGGTAGAGATATCTATCGAAAAAAGTTAAAACATATTATATCTTACATAGTATGGTGAATGTGAACTACTTTTGCATATCTTTAATTATGAATATTTTATTCTCATAAGAACAGCAGCTAATTGTTTTGCATGCTGATCATACATACACAACTCTGCTGAACTGACTTATTGTTTGTTAAAATGGTTTTCTTTAGAATTTTCCATCCAGAAAATCCAATTTTTTCTTTTTTTCTAATGTTTCATTACTATTTCTATTGTTTTAATAGACACTACACTTAAATTTAATACTGAGAGTGTTTGCACTTTTATTGCAGTATTTGATTAAAATGCTCCCAAAAAATCACCATTCATTATCATCAGTTCATTGTATTTTGAACTGGACTTGGCGCTTTTAGAGATGGAAATTTTTATTGATTCAGTTTAAATAGCTATAAAACATGCATGTTTTTAGATATTTATAGTAAAACTTTTATAATATATATTTGTTTAGAATATTCTCATTTAATATTTTTGCAACTTGTTATATCTAAACCCATAAGTAACTGTATTTATATTTCTCTTTTTATTTTTGATCCTCATTGGAGGATATTTTATATTAATTTTAGAGAGACAGGAAGAGAGAGAGAGAGAAAGAGACAGAGAGACATCAATGTGAGAGAAATATCGATTGGTTGCCTCCTGTATGCACTCTAGTTAATTTGTATAGTTTTGCAAAGTATATGTATACATTCATGGTATGTACAATTATTTTATGTTTTTACATTTGAATAATTGGCATAATACTATATAATTTTTTCTGACAATGTCTATATTAGCTCACCAATTTAAAACTATGTTTAGTCCGGCTGGTGTGGCTCAGTGGTTGAGCATCGACCCATGCACCAAAAGGTCGCTGGTTCGATTCCCAGTCAGGACACAAGCTCAGGTTGTGGGCCATATCCCCAGCAGGGAGCATATAGGAGGTGGCCAAGTGATGTTCTCTCTCATCGATGTTTCTCTCTCTTTCACTCTCACTTCCTCTCTCTCTAAAAATCAATAAAGGGGAAAAAAACTATGTTTATACATGTGGTTCTACTCTATTTACTTTTTAAATATTGCACCATATTCTAATGTATTTACACATCACAACTTATTAATCTAGTTTCCCATTGGATGCTTTCATTTGTCAAATTTTTTCTAGTATCAACAAAACTGCAATAAACCTCCTTTTACATGTTTTCTTGTGCATGTGAGTGAGAGTTTCTCTAAAATATGTCTAAGGGTCTTAGAGTATACAACTTAGTAAATATTGCCCAATGGTTCTCTTCATAGTTTTTTATTATCACTGGTAGTATATGAGAGTGCCTATGCTCCTAAATTGTGTTCTGTTATTCTTCGTTGTGTATAGTATCATCTGTTGTAATAAAAATTTTGAATTTTATATGAAGCCACATTTGTCCATTTCTTGCTCTTCAGTCTGTGTTTTTGTTTTAACCCAAACCGAAAGCAATAAAGATATCAGGAACTACTGTTGTTGACAACCTATCGGCTATTGGTCTGATTTTTATTTCTTGGTAAGCTACATGTTTGTTTCTCTTGGTAACTTTTATGCTTTTTTTTAATCTTAATGATTTTTTATTTTACTCTGATATGTCTATTTTTATTTATTCTACTAAGCATGTGAAATGTTCTTTTAATCTAAAAGTTTATGCCTCTTAAATTCCAGAAAATTCTAAGCCATTAACTTTTTTATTTATCTCTGCTATTTCTACACTGTCTTTTCTAAAAATTTTTCTGAAATATATGCTTTCATTGTTAATGGAGCTTTAATTTTACCTAAGTGTAGTTCATTTTTATTTAATCAGTTCAGATCATTAATTCACATTCTAGACAAATTCTTCTGTACTCTCTTCCAATTCACCAATTCTCATTTTAATCACATTGACTTGAAGTTTATTACATATTTAGGATTCCTTTTATTATCTCAATGCTATACACTTACTCTCTAATATTTCCAAGGGTTATTATTTATATTCTTATTTCTGCTATTTTCTTCATCATTTCTTGTTCATTTTTAATGGATAGTAAATGCCATCCATTTACTATTTTTAAACCTATTGAATTGGTTAAGAATACTTATTTTCAAACATTTGTCATACTTGATATTAAATTTAATCTGGAATGAAGTCATGTTTTAGTTGGTAATTTATGTGCTTATCTTTTTTAATATTAGGTTTATTCATGGGTTTTTAATTTTTAGTTCACAAGCTTCTTTTGAGTGTTTTGTTGTTGTGGGTTGTTTGTTTTGGTTTTCTTTTCTTACTCTGTTTCTTTGCATTTACTCTTCCAAATCTGATAAATTTGCCTTTGTTTTTCCCAACTCCCCAGATCCTTAGGCCAGCCTCGTTCTTATAAGAGTGATTTTTCATAATGATACTGGTAATACTCAGTTCCTTTAGTTTGTGGGCATGTCTGTGTGTTATTCTTTCCTTAGCAGAACAGCAATGATCTGCAAAAGTTGTTTTGTGTTTGTTTGCTTGTTTGTTTGTTTGTTTAATTCTTTTACAATGAGGTTTACATTTGTTTCCTAGGGCTGCTATAAGAAAGCACCACAAATTTGATGGTTTAAAACAAAAGAAATGTATTCTCTACACTTCTGGAGGCTAGCAGTCTGAAATCAAGGTGTTAGCAGGGTCATACTTCCTCTGAAGGTGCCAGGATAGGATCCTTCTTCTACTCTTCCTAGCTGCAACTAGCTGCCAGCAATCCTTGGTTTGTAGATGCATCCCTGGAATCTGTACCTGTCACCACAGGACATTTGCCCTGTGTTTCTGTGTCACTGTCTCCTTTCCTCTTCTCACAAGGACAGCAGTGACTGCATTGAGGGCCCACTCTCATCCACTATGACCTCATCTTAATTTAACTAATTCCATTTGCAAAGACCCTATTTCCAAATACAATATTCTGAGGTTATAGGTGGACATGAAATTTTGAGGGGCACTATGCAACCCAGTCCAAGGTTATTTTATCCCACTACTTGGATTAAAGTGTTGAATCTGGACTTAATCTCATGACTCCTTGGAAGTGCTTTATTTTTTTTGGAAGCTGCTCTCCCAGACCACTGCCTGTTTCTAGGCTTAGAGCCTTTGCTTTAGGCCTTTGAATTCAGCTGTGTTTACTCCTTTTCTGTTTCTGTTCAATTTCCAGTTCAAAAAAATAGGATGTCCAAAATGATATTTATGTTATCTTTGAACTTAGATATGTCCCTTTAAAATTATAAAAATATATTGTATCTGTTGTTCTTATTTGAGATGTGAAATACATCAATATGTAACTTATTTACCTGGTTGTTCTTATTTTATTGTCCGTTTTTAAATTTTGAGTTCATTATTATTCAGTCTTTTAATACATAGATAGTTATATAGATACACATACACACATATATATAAAGTTCTAAATATCCCTTTAAGTACTATCCCATAAGTTTTTCTATTCAGTGCTTTGATTGACATAGAATTTAAGTTACTTAATTATTTTCATTATAATTTATTCTTTGACCCAAAAGTAATTCCAAACATGGTGTGTTTGGCAATATTTTTTATCATAGATTGATAATTCTTTTGCATTGGAGATAGAAAACAAAGGTTATATGGTATCAACATTTGGAATTCTGAAAAACCTTTCTTTGTGGCATAGTACCTCGTCAAATGTTATAAATTTTTATTATAGATATAACAAGAATATATATTCTGATCGTTGGGTTAAAAATTGTTATATATCAATGAGATAACTTTATACAATTTGGTGGTTCAAATTTTGTGTACCCTCATTAATTTTTTGTCTGTATTTCATATTTACTTGTTGGAGAAGTGTGTTGAAAATTTCCACTCTGATAGTAAATTTTTTCATTATAATTTTGTAAATTTTTGTTTTATGTAATTGAGGTTATATTGATGTAAATATATACGAGTTCATTACTGTCATATATTCTTGGTAAAGTGGTTTTTTTTTATTATTATTAAGTAATAGTCTCTTTAACTCTAAAAATCAATTTCACTTTAAAGTCTATTTTGTTTCATAGTCATTAATATAACTATCGAAGCTTGATTTAACATCTGCTTGGTATATCTTTTCTGATCTTTGTCTTTAACTTTTGTTTGCATTATAGTTTTTAGTCTCTCTTGTAAACAACATATGGCTGTAATTTTTTCTTTTTTTAAAAATCCTAACCCGAGGATATTTTTTACATTTGTCTTCAGACAGAGTGAGAGGAAGAGAGAGAGAGAGAGAGAAACATTGATGTGAGAGAGACACATCGATTGGTTGCCACCCACACAACCCCATCTGGGGTAGGGACAAACTGCAACCGAGGTACATGCCCTTGGTCAGAATCGAACCCGGGACTCTTTGGTCCATGAGCCAATGGTCTAACCACTGAGCAAAACCAGCCAGGCCATGTCTAGAATTTTGAAAACTCTAATATGAAAGTCACTATCATTTATAAATCAAGTTCAGTTGGTTATGTTTATTGTTAAACCTGGTATATTTAGGGTTTGTTTGTTTTTTTTTTCAGCTTATTTTGTGTGTTTTTATTTTCCTATTTCTCATTCTTCTGAATTTTTCTTAATGTTTTTCTCCCTTCTATTAGAAGGGAATAAGTGTAAGTGATCATCCTTAAATTTTTGGCAAAATTTAAAGTTAATCATTATTTCTGTTCCAGAAGAGTCCTAGATGTTACCTGGATTTCAAGCTAACAGGTTAGTTTGCCATAGCTGCATGGATGCTGGCAGGAGATGTAAGACTTCATATCCAGAGACAAAGGACCTTTTTTTTTTTATTATTTATTTTAGAAAGAAAGGAAGGGAGAGAAAGAGAGAGAGAGAAATACTGATGAGAGAGAACATCAATTAGATGCCTCCTGCATGCCCCCCACTGGGGATCGGGCCCACAACCTGGGCATGTGTCCTGACCAGGAATCGAACCAGTGACCTCCTGGTGCATGGGTCGACGTCTCAACAACTGACCCACACTGGCCAGGCGAAAGGACTTTTTACTGACAGTATAACAGTTAAGACAAGTTCAGGTTGGTTTTCCTTAATCTCCAAGTCCCAAAGGAGTGGTACAGAAGGAAACTCAGAAGCATGTTGTACACACAGCAGATTAGGTCACAGCTAAGAAATCTTGAGTTTAGGAAATCCCAATATTTTAATTACTCGCCAGTAAATCTGCCAAACTTAGCCCCAGAGAGAGATTTTATCTATATGACCCTGAATAGTAAACTCTATTCCAGAAGGAAATGCTATCTGTATCTTCCAAGGCCATGTACTTTTCAGCTGTCCTTGAAAAGGTAGTCCAGGACAAAAGCCTCTGCTAACAACATATGCAGAAATGCAAGGGAACCATGGAGAATTCTCTCCCAACAATATCTACCTCTTATTTCTATACTATATTCATTTCTGGTGAATTCTCTCATGAGAATACTTTATTAACCATTCTAATTAACTGACTGACAGAGGATGGTACCAAATATAATTGTTTTGTCTGAAACAGAATTTAGTTAAGACCAGTACCTACAGAAATCCAAACAGCAGGACAAGGACGATCTATACTAGTAATCCTCAGGGTTTCTCAGCTGTGTGCAAATCCATTGCATGTACAGTACATAGCTGGACCCACCCCCATATTACCCCTATGGCACTTTGGGGAAAAGGGGAGCTGATGAAAACATGAATCTCCCTTGACCTGGACCATTTGGCTCAGTGGTTCGAGCATCGGTCTGAGGACTAAAAAGTTGAGGGTTTGATTTCTAGTCAAGGACACATACTTGGGTTGCAGATTTGATCCCCTGCCCAGTCAGGGTCAGGCAGGAGGCAACCAGTCATGTTTCTCTCACATAGATCTCGCATGTGCTCTCTCTCTCTCTCTCTCTCTCTTTCCCCCCTTCCACTCTATCTAAAACTCAATGAAAGAAATATCCCTGGATGAGAATTAACAAAAAACAAACAAGAAAAAAACATGAACTCATGCTCTCAGCTGTCTTCGCAGTTCTTGACTGTGAAGTCCTTGACAGTCCTGTAACTAATCAATACAAGACTTTACATGTTTTAAACAAAACTAAACTATTTTTTAGTAAAATGAAGGACTTTTCTCACTGCCCATTAGGAGAACTTAATATACATTTAAACCATATTCCGGTGTCCAAATGAGAAAGAACATGAAATGGAAAGAGAAAAATGGGGCGGTTTTGTTCAAAAACAGGAAACAGGTCAATATTATCATGTGCTTTGTTCAAAATCAGACATACATTTACAAAAAATAAGCCTTTGAGAGACATGAAGAGTATTGTGTCCATGACATTTAATGAGCGAGAACAAGTATCATTTTGGAGATGAGAGGTAGATGGTGAATGGAAGTATGGACCCAAGCTCGTGAGATGCTAAAATGATGTCAGATGGAATAGGTACCTTCGAACAGCAATGTTCAGCCAGGGTGCCGCAGCAGGCACACCGCTGTGCTGCAAGAATCTTTAAAACATGCAAAAATACCTGACCAATTAGTCAGGGGCACTGACCTCTTTTCCCTTAGATTGTCAAATGTAAGAAATGACAGCAGCCAACACAACTATAGCTATCCATTGTGAATGAATCAAAATTATCATTTTGTTTTTTCAGATTGGCAAAAAATATATTTTTTGGTATGCCGCAGAATTTTAGTAATTAGTTTGTGTGCCATGAGATGAAAAAGGCTGAAAATCACTGCTTTAGAGAATAATATAGTTTAGATCAGCAGCTTCTGTACAGCCATTACCTTTAATAACGTATCGACTACAACCAATTTAACAAATGACATTTCAAAAGGCTAGGTTCAGGAAATCATCCATGCTTGTATTTATCAAGTACTTTGAAAATACTGAGAAAATTAAAATTCTAGCATATAAATTGAAAAATGGGGACATAGTAACAATATCTATTCTGGAAACAAAGCAAAATATAGACTAGTCACTTGACAAAAAAAAATATTAGACATGACTGGTGCCATTTTATGCAGTCTATGCTAAAAATTTTTTTTTTTTTTTTATTTGGTACATGTCCCAGTGGGAACCAAACCCGGGACTCTCTGGTTCACAGGCTGACACTCCAACCACTGAGCCAAATTGGCCAGGGCTAAGAAAATTCTTAAAAATAATTATCTTTACCTGAAGTTGGTGGAATCATATATCCTGCATGCTCCTGACTCACCACATTTAAAAGTTGCCCAGTGTAAACATGTGGAGTCCATTAATGCCCCAAAATATATAGGTGCAGGGATTCCAGCTACAATAAAAGCAAGAAAGAAAAATCCATCAACAAGATAAGAATTAAGATACCTTGTTTTGTTTAAAAACATTTTAATTTCCTTTATTTGAAGAACCAACAAAATTAACAAAATCTAAATTTAATACTTTAAATTTTATTTTTAGAAATTACTGTTATACTTAAAGTTTCTAGATTAGAAAGGATAAGTAATCTTATGGACAAATGCAACATAAAACATATTGATAGAAAAAAATTGAATTAATGATCATATTTTTTCTGTATGCTTTGGGCAATCATGTACATTTTGTTTTAACATACTATTTCCTGTTCATTTAATTTTCCAATCCAATAGATGAAAAGTATAATTAAGGTTAGATAGGACTTTTTTTAAGTAAAAGAAAGTTCTCTATTTCTTCTTGTACTTCATTGTCATACTAAGACAGACTGCTGCTTAAAGCAGAAGGGATATTTGCTAGACTGTTACTATGAGAGTGATTTCATTTACTTAGTATTTAATAACATTCTGATATAATGCTGGAAATGATAACTATTTTTACCAAATACTCTTGTGGAAAATGCATGTAATCCCACACCGAGAGACTTCTCTTCAGGCTTGACACACCTAAAAAACAAACGAATTCATGAATAAAATAAAGAGACTTAAAACTACTATATACAGTGAAATATTACTTGGCAATAAAAATTACATAAATGTTACCATTTGCAACAACATGGATAGACCTAGAAGGTATTGTATTAAGTGAAATAAGTCAGACAGAGAAAAACAAGTACTGTATGTTTTCACTTATATGTAGAGTCTAAAAAAAAAAAAAAAACACATAATAAACATATCAAAACAGAAACAGACTCATAGATATAGAGAACAAGCTGGTAGTTGCCAAATGAGAGGGAGTTGGAGTAGTTGGGTGAAATTTAAAAAAAAAAAAAAAAAAATTTAAATAAAACAATTTTTGGAAAATAAATTAAATAAATAAAATCTACTGCAATTTCTTTTTTCTTAATTTTTTATTTATTGATGTGTGAGCGAGAAACATTGATGTGTTGTTCCACATAATTGTGAATTCATTGGTTGATTCTTGTATGTGTCCTGATCGGGGACAAACCCGCGACCTTGGCGTATCAGGATGATGCTCTAACCAACTGAACTACCCAGCCAGGGCCTATAATCATAATTTCTTAAAAGGTCTGTTTGTGTGCTAGTAACACACTGAGCATTAGAAAATGTCCTTGCATGCTCAGGTCTTAATTATTCAAGGACTGATTATCAAGTTTGTAGCCTACATGGGAGCCTCTCTTCTGGTTCTTGGCATTTTCCCCATTTTTCCTGATTCATTTCTATCAGAAAATTAACAAAAGAGAAAATATTTCATATCAATTTCTTGATTCTGATGGTTCAACCTTTAGTCTAAAACGAGTAAACAATGCAACCATAGCTGATTTTAAAGTATTTGTATTAGCAAAATACAGAAAAGCCAAGAATTTATACAAGTAAATGTAAGGAGGAAAGAAAGCAAGAATAAGAATTTTCAAAGGACAGTGATGAAAAAATCCAAAGCAAATATATATTTAGGTGATTTGGTATCATTTCAAGAGTTACACTGATTACTTTGTTCTCTCCCAAAATTCTCCCACATTTCCCGTTGCCTGAAATGCCTGTAAGTAGACATGAAAACAATTGTCCAATGGCACTTTCTGGGTCTCACTCATTTCAGCATCAGCACTGCTCCTGCTAAGAGAGCTCACAGTGAGGGTTCCTCTGTGTTCCAGAACTGATTAAATCCCTTCCCTGATTAAACCAAAGCTAAGAAACTAACAGTAGCTTTCTTCACAAAAGAATGCAATACATTTGTAGCAAAAAACATCATCTTAATGGTATTTTCTTGGTATAAGAAAATTTAAACCTTAAAAGATGTGTCTTTTTATGTTAAATAATGAGAATTTCACAAAATTAACTCTAAGAAATAAGGAATAGAAGAAGCAAAGGAAAAGGTCTACAGATAAACATGTCTGTAATACTACCTTTAAAATTTCATAAAACTCAATAATGCTTTATGTAATGAATGACATGTTAGAGCACTGAATTTTTAGACCATGGGCTCTGAGTCGCTTTCTTAAAAAGCTACCTTAATAAATGACCAGAATGGAATCTAAACGAAGAAGATCATTCGTATACCTCAGCAGAACCATATATCCAGGTATGGCAGATAAAGAATAAATGAAACTGCTGATCGACGACAAGATCAAAAAGTACTGGAGCATCATGGAACAATCATGCCCTTTGCCACACAGCCCAAGAACTGCAGATGAATTTCCTAAGGTTTGAATGCAGGCACAGTTTTGGAACATCTGTCAAGAAATAATATGTTATCCTATTTAAGGAAGAAAACTCTTAAACACAAATCTCAACTATTCTACATCTCTTTATTCTCATCTCCTTTATGGTGTCTCTTGGGATCATAACAAAAAATGAAACACAGAAGGGTGGTTTCAGAAAAATGGCATTTCTCTCTAAATATATGGAGTCAATTTGCAATAGCTCACCTATCCTGAAGTCTTGATTTTTAAAAATACATACTGTTTTGCCACAATACTAAGTATGACTAACAAAATTTGTTTCAGAATTCTCAGTTGAAATATTTGTTTCAGAATTCTCAGTTGAAATATTTGTTTTAAAAAACACAGTTTATTGCCAAAACAGAGTAAAGTTCATTCTCTTTGAAATTCTTAAATGTTTCCAGGTTTTAATAAGAATCAAAATTTTTAGTTTACTTTTATCACCAGTCAACATTTTCAGGAAAATAAACATGCCTAATGCCATCTTACAAAGCTGTCAGGATGTGAAAAACATAGAAAATATACACAGGGAAGAAAGAAAGAAAAACTTCAACAAAGCAATTAGCTGGATATTTAAGATCAAAACTGTCAACTTTATCTCAATGATAAAAATATTTTAGTCCAGAGTACTTTTAAAACAAATTATCTGAGTAATAATGTCAACTGCTATAAAATTAAAGATTAGTGCTCAGACATTATAAAGGTTTAAAATAAGATCTAGGAAATAAAAAGTAAATCAAGTGAGGATATCAAAAAAATGTTTATTTTTCCAAAAAAAAAAAATTAATTTGGTTTTGAAGAAAGACTTTGATTGTGCTTTTATCAAATATGGGCCCAGTTCACAGTTGGAAAGTGTCCACGCAATTTACAAATAGAAATTTATGTTAAAAAAAATTTAAAAGGCCAATAGGTTGTATTACCATGTTTAGTCCAGTTCCAATGACTGTCTCACATCCAGCAAGACAGGCTGACATATATGACAAACCATTGCTTCCACACACGGGGTCCCATATTTTGGTTGGGCAGTTGCAATCCATGTTGCAGTCAGCAAGGATGGAATTTCCAACATGTAAATCTTGTTGTATTCTGAAATGATTTAAAATAATACTATGACTATTGAAAGACTGTTAGAGCATTTTCTTTTTTTTGTTTGTTTGTTTTTATTGCAATCCACAGTTACATTTTTTTTCCTTCCCCAAAATAGAAACAGAAATCTTTCAACCATTGATGTGTGGCCTGAGTACTATAGATATGGCATAAAAGATATCTGCTTCAGTGACCACAAAGCCAATTTTTAAAATAATTTATTTCACATAAATGGCCAAGCAACAAGCATTAGTTGAGTGCCAACTGTATGAGAGGTGTTTTTCCAGGTATTATTAGAACTCAAAAATAAAGTTGACCTAATCCCTGTGGTTGATCCATATGATGGAAAGTAACAACAGATATCATATCCTATAAAAGCAATCTCAAGAGCTCATTTTAATATCAAACTGTTTACATTCAACATATAATATAGATAATAAATTTAGCTCTAGAAACATAACTACATATGTAAACAAATATATTCTTCTAGTATAAAAATGTATTAAGAACTAAAATAAGGAAAAACCAATGTTGCCATCTTGATGACCACCCATTGAGGAAGGTTGGCCAGGGAACCTGGGCAGCCATCAAGCCCATCCTATAGCCTCATTAATGCAGGGACCCAAGCTAGTAGCCATGCTCTACTGTTAAGTATGTCCTCTGTCTCCACATAACTAAAGTAACCCTGGGCAGCCTCAGAGCCTCGCCTACAATGCTGCCAGACTGTGGAGCCAAGCCTACAGCACTGCCCAACAGCAGAGCCCAGCCTATAGCCCTCCGCAGTGGCTGAACACAATGTGCAGCTTTGCTCAGTCAGGGAATCTAGGCAGTGACCCCACCTAAACACAAAGTATATCCTATAGCCCCATTCAATGAGAGAATGTGGACAGTGACCCTGCTCCATCAGGGGGCACTGTCTCCAGCACACCCAACCTTCTGATAGACCCAGAGAACCCTCAAAGTACAAATCTAAAATGAATCAATAATGAGGCATAACTATCAAATGAAATATATGAATTTACATATGAATCAATGTATCATGTATCAGGATGCCAAATTTAAGCCTATTGTGGAAGCAGAAAGGCAATTGAGACAGTATATTCAACTCTCAGTTTTACCCATTTATGAGAGTATAAAATATATAGCTAAAATATCCCAATGCAACATAAATCTAAAGTTTCTTTTGACATCCACTTTAATATCTACTAGGATACCACAAAGACACACATATACAAATCATAAACTCACCAACCCTGTGATATGTTCCCAACCTCTTTAATAAACCTGGAGCCTGAGTGCATTAGGTTGTAACTGACAGATGGAGGAAAGATGAAAGACCAAGGATTACTGCCATTAACTCCAATTATCAAATGATCTGGCCAGAGCTGATCATTGGAGAAAATATATTACTAACTGTTCAAAGTGTGTAACATTCTTTAGTAGAAAACATACCCTTCGTAAGACATGGTTATGCCAGCAACTGAAGAATTATCACAGATCATGAAAAAACATGAAAAGTAAAGAAGAAAGTCAACGAAAGATAACCAAAATGCTACATGGGCAGCTTGTTTGACAGTAATCTTGAACTTTTTCATAATTAAACCACCAAATATATATCCAATGCATATTGGAGGTAAGTTGTAAATACCTATAAACACAAGAAAAATGTTATTTACAATGTGACTTAGCAAAGGAACAAATATGATATTACTTTTATATAACGTCTTACATAAGAAACCATTTAGATCCAATTCACAGTAAAGATGGCTGATTGACTTGTATCCCTACTTAGTTACATATTATATACAGAGATTTTTAAATGCCCTTCAGTGTCAAAGTATATTTTGAAGACTGTTATTATCATTGATTTAATTGATTTCAGGAGGCCTTAAATTTTTTGTAGACAGGGATCATGCTCTCTTTTCTTAGGATTCAGGTAAGAGTGGCAAGTCAAAGTTCATCAGTAATTTAATGTTTTCCATTTTGGGGATGTTATTATATATAAATTTTTATATGATTTCGCTGTTGTTTATTCCCACTTTGGTTAAGAATTTGATTCAGTTTAAGGTACTTTAAAAGATTACTGCTGAACCTGTCAAATTTATTTACATTTTATGTCTTGCTGCTACTGACCAGCACTCTCCCTACCCTCCTCTTCCACCCACAAAAGGAAAAAAGAAGAAAAAGGAACAGACTGCCTTAGGTTACATTCTTATATGCCAGGGTCTGCTCACTGAATCACATCTTTGGAAGAAGTTGTTAAAAATCCATTCCAGAGTCCCATTCCAGAGTCTGATTTAGTGTGTTTGGGGTCGGCACCAGGTATCTGAACTTTCAACAAACATTGCAGGTAATGTGAATGCAGATAATCTAGGAAATTTACTTTCGAGATGGTAAAAACACCCCTAGAGAAATCTGAAGTGGGAGAGGAGGGAGTGGTAGTGTGGTCACAAGAAAATCAGAATACATGAGCTGCAGAGACACCTCAAACCACCAGGGGGGACCAGAGGGACCATGGAATTCATGATTGGGAGCCTGGAGTAAAATCTGAGTGTAGAACATTGACTTCTAATGAATTAACTCTGTCTTTCTTTTCTTTCTTTTTTTCTTTTTTTTTTTTTCATTAATGGATTGCCTATGTGAAAATTGTATCTGATTTGTGCATGGGTGAAGATTTTCACAAATATTTTGAATTTGTTTTCAGGCTTTGTCTCTTTTTACCTGCCCTTTGCTGATTTCACTGGAGAACAGAAGGGAGAAATGTACCAGGAACAGAAATATCCTAACAGATTTAATTCAGGAGTTTCCTAGACCCATCATCACTCTGTTTACCATTTCATTGGTAGGGGGTGGGGAGTGGGCTGCTAATGCAGAAAAGGGCAAACATACCAATTAGAAAGATTGCATCCGAAGTTGATTTTCCATATTGCTGTTCCAGATATTTAGGCATGAAAAACATCATATTAACAAATGCATTAAACTGAATCACACTTATTAGTATAAAAATCATGTAAATTGGGTTGCAAAAAAGACTTTTCATGAATGGTAAAAAATCTGAAATGAAAGAAAGACAACAGTGTCAAACTAACTCAAGTTTGCATTTTATGGCTGACTTTTTCTGAAACATCAACTTCGCCTCAAAATTATGCTTTCCTGTTTTATAATACACGTATTGTTTATTCTTTTTACCCCTCACAAGCTGAAGTTGTGTCTTTGTTTTGGCAACCTCTGCATGTCAGTGACACAGATGACTAAGCAGGTATCATAACATAACAGTTTTGCCTTCACTAAGTTACTATTGTACCTTAAGGAAAAACTACAAGGTGACCAAAATATCATCTGTGTTCTTACACCATTTCCTTTCATCCTTCTCTTTTTCCTTCTATCAATATCCTCTTTTCTCTAGAGATCATCTAGAATAAAATATGCTATTCTATTCTCTAATGTCTGGAAGAAATCACTTTGATTGATAAGTTCCCACTCTGATATTAATATCATCACCCCTGAACATTTAAAATAAATATGTATTTGGGAATTCATGAAATATAAATTTTCTCAAGTACCAGGTATTTTTATACTTCTTCAGAATATTTGTTTTGGTGGTTCTGTCAATGGTTCACACAAAAAAAAAATGTGCTAAACTACCTGGGTATCTTTTAAAATACCAGCTTCCAGGTCCTATTGCCTGAGATCCTGATTCATTAGGTACATACTAAGGACCATGTAAATAATTTAACCAAAACTTTCCCTCTCTGTGTGAGCCAAATTTCGCCCATCTCTAGCAAATGCTCTGGGTCACACTGCTGCTATTGGGGGTCAAAGTCTCACTTATAGTTTATTTTCACTTCCCCTTCCTTCATGCTCTTTCTTGATTACCTTGCTTATTCTGTATCATCCTGGTTTGTTTAATAAACTGCCTAAAGTCCATTCTGGATCAAAGTATCAATAAAAAAGCAAATTGAAAGAAAAAGAAGCATAGCACCATGAAAACAAATAAATACATAGCAGGGGTGAGACTTGTGTTAAGAGCTTTTCGGAGCTCCTTAAATCTCCCATTTAGTTTTCAGAAGCCCTGTCCTCACCCATGAGTCTCAATAGTTCAAATTCTGTCCTATGTGCCTTGCACTGAGCTAAGCTATTTTCTAGTTTTGAAAAATGATCCTACATTATATTCCACAAATAAGTGAGATCATGTGATATTTGTCTTTCTCTGCTTGGCTGGTTTTGCTTAGGATAATACTCTCCAGGTCCTTCCATGTTGTCCCAAAGGATAAGAGATCTTTCTTTCTTACAGCTGCATAGTACTCCATTGTGTATATGTACCACAACTTTTTTATCCATTGGTCTAATGATAGCCACTTGGGCTGTTTCAACATAACAGTCTGAGGAACAGAGTAGACCAGAGATGTGGAAGTAGGGTACAGACTGACAACCCTCAGAAGAGGGAGTGGCGGGGGAGACAAACCACAGAACTTATATGCATGTACGCATAACCAATGGACATGGACAACAAAGCTGGGGACAGGGTGGGGGCATGGGGAGGAGGGTGTCAATGGGGAAAAAAAGGAGAAACATCTGTAACAAAAATAAATTAATAGAAACAAAAAGAAAATCACCAAAGTAATATTTATCTTATAATTAAATAAAATATTCTTATATTAATTCAAAAAAAGAAAAATGATCCTACAGACCACAAACAGTATTCTATATTAATAACCTCTCAGTCCATATCTTCTCTTTGAGAAAAGTTGTGGTATAATTATGACAACTGAGGATTTGCAGGGTTCTGAATTGACTTCTAATGCTCTGGAAAGTATTACAATGTGTTCAATTGTGGTATAAGTGAATTTGCAATGGCTAATAAAAATTCTTTGCAAATTGGTATTATGATTTATGGGTGGTATTAGAAGTAGCAACATCAACAATAGTAATAATAATACTAGTAGCAGTAATAATAATAATATGTACCTGATCTCCTTTTACCTTCACATAACAACTCTATAATAACCACTATATTATCTCCAGTATACTGATAAGGAAACTTAGCCCCTCCCAACTTCTAAATAAGCACTCTAAGAATTCCAAGGCCCAGGCCTGGCCGGTGTGGTTCAGTAGTTGAGCATCGACCCATGCACCAAGAGGTTATCAATTTGATTCCAAGTCAGTGCACATGCCCAGGTTGTGGGCCCAATCCCCAGTGGGGGGGTATGCAAGAGGTGGCCAATCAATATTCCCTCCCATTGATGTTTCTCTCTCTCTCTCCCTCTATCTTCCTCTCTCTCTAAAAATCAATAAAGGACAAAAAAATAAGAATTCCAAGGCTCAGGCCATACTAATTAAATGCTCATATTAATTAAACCAGACCTCTTGGAAATAATACAGAATTTCCAGGCATTAGTAATTTTTAAAGTTTTCTAGGTGATTATAATATGTGGCCAAGTTTAAAAATCAGTATTCTTGAACATTAAATATTTAGACTCTCTTAGTTTGCTACAGAAAAACCTTCTGTAAATTATACTTTGAGTTTTTATGGATAATCTATACAAAAAAAAAGAACTATTACACAACATATGTTCTTGCATTTCCCGGGAAACAATGTGGTTCAGTATTACTTATATAACATATGACAATTATCTTCTTTTTTTATAATTGTTGCTTGGGGAAGATTTTCTCTTTAAGAACTACTATCCTTCCCTGTATCAAATACAGAGAATTATATGACCTTTCATGTTTTATTTTTCTGCTTTAACTTCTAGGAAGCTCACAGCTAAGCTAACATCTTTGGTTTCAAAACTATACACTTACTTGGATTAGTGTATATTTTACCTCCTTTTGTTATTAGTTTTAATTTCTTTCTTTAAATTTTGAACTTCAAGGTAAATGGGCATAAATATTTTATTGAGCACCCAGATTGATATTGAATTTTATATAAATACTGATCTAAGATAATTCAGCTTCCAAATTATACTATTTAATTCCAAGTAGTAGCACAGGAAGAATCAGACAAGTTACACGTTACTGATTGCTGATTGCTAATAACCAATTGCCTTAGTGAAGCCTATAAAAACACATCTATCTAAAATTAAAAGTAAATTATGTAGTATTTAAAATTTTTATATTTGCCTTTAGTAATCCCATCATTTTCCTTCTTGACCTTTACTTTTTGTTTCTCTTCTTTGTCATTTTGAATGATGTCAGTATTATCCTTTGCGTCTTCCTTTGCAAGAGTTTTGGGCAAAAAGAAAAAAGGAATGGCAGTGAGCACATTCACTCCTGCACAAATCAAGATGCCAAACCACCATGCACCAACCCAGCGAGTATCATTGGGAGTGATGGTCAGATCATCTGTTTAAAAAAAAAAAAAAATACACATTTTTTATTAGCTTTAGTCATCATTTCCTGTATGAACTAAAGACAAAATTTTAAATTACTCTTCTCAAGTTCTATGCAAGTATAGAGTTTGTATACAATTCAGACCTTCATAAAAGTTGGCTGATAATGCACAGTGTTACAGTAAATTAGTGTGGACATCTGTTCTATCGTGGAAGGAATTGATAAATAGGTACTCATTAAAGTTCTGTTTAAGTATCCACAATGTTTGCTTGATTAAAAGAAATTCAAATCTATATGCTTAAACCTTTTAAAAACAAGAGACATGGCCATGGTACAGTAGAAATAGCACTAAATTTTGAGTCAGAAGATCCGCATTTTATCTTGTTCTCCCGTTCACTAGTATGAAATATTTTTTAAATTATTTAAACTCCTCCACTTTAGTTTGCACTCTTAAAAAGTAGATAATCTATCTAACTGAAGGTCAAGTAAAGCAACAATGAACTTGATAGCAAACCTGAAATTGCTTTGTATACTCTAGACACTATAACTAGATTTTCATGAATTACCTGTGCTTACAGATCCGGTGTCAACATAAACATTTGCACAGAATGATGCTAACAAAAGTCCAAACAGAGGACCAATGATAGCTCCTGTTTCTACAAACCCTGAAAATAAAAGAAAATATAAAGTTATAGTATAGTTATATACCCACATAAAGAGTCCTAATTCCACTGAGTCTGAAAACTGAATTGTTTTTGCTTTAGGTATTTTTGCCTTAGATATTCAATTTGTAAGAAAATTAAGCAGGTGGCCATATAAGTAACAAGTTTGTTTCTGTAAACATTGAAGAAAGACCCTCATAATTTAAAACCACTTTCACTAAGCCTCCAAATTCTCTTCTGCTGGGTCACAGGTAAAGACTTACTGGAGCAGCATAGGTTGGGATCATGCCATTATCAAAGCCACAATATAGAGTAAGAACTTTTTGAGGTTTCCCATAGCCACATTTTTAGAGGAATTCTAATACAATTCCACGTTATGATAAATTTCTTGTGGCATACTCCTCAGAAAAGTTTTACTCCCAGATCTTCAACTTGAAACGTTCTCTGGCTTTGTCCTCACTATTTACTGATACTTCACTCTTACTATGATCTCCTTTCTTACCCGTCACAGTCTATCTTTTATTTCCAAAGGTCCTCTCTGTCCTTTTCTTACTTATCTGGAATTTCATCATAAGTTATTTCATAACTTGTCCACAATTCAGAATCTATGCTGCATCCTCTGCTTACTGAAAATCCAGACACAAGATTCTTCTATTGTCTTTCTCTTTACTTCAAAATGTATTTGCCCGTTGTCTCTTCCTTCTCTGCAGTTCTATAGGCTAGTTCACCCTCTGAACTCTAGACTTCTTGACATCAACACATTTTCTTTTCTCTTCTCTGAGGTATTGCTCAACCAAATACTTCTTCTCTTGTGCTTGTTCAATGCCCCCATCCGTTGATATCTATAATACCTCAAAACCACCTAGCTCTCTTTTCTTTCACTACACTCTGCCTCTCCTTCCTTACCAATCAATAACTCTACTCAACTTCTTCCACATTGTACTCAAAACAACCTCCAGTGATCGATCTCTTTGCCACTTATCCAAAGTCCTGTCTAACCCTCATCCTCTTAACTCTCTGTGTTATTTGACTTTGCTTGCCAGGTTCTCTTTGACAGTTTCCTTCTAAGACTTTCTCAAAACTGTACATTTATTGTTTTACTTTTCCTCGTTGACTACCCCTTTCTTGTTTTTTCTTCCTCTTACTCTGTTAAGAAGAAGTGTTCTGTAGTATTTTATCCCAGGACCTCTTGCTCTATATAGCTTTCCACAGCAACATTTCTTCCTCTTGGTTTCATTGATTGTCACTATACAGGTAATTCTCAAACTTTATTGCTAGCTTTTACATTCTCTCCTAAACTCCAGAGCCCTACATGGAACTGTTTTCTTGATATATAGCTAATTGAGTTGTAGTTACTCAATTATATGCACACACTTACTTAGTTTATTTTTCTACTTTAATTTAATTATTTAAAATTTAATTACACACATAAATTTATCTCATTTAATTGATTTATAATTATGTAGTTATTTATCTATTAAAACTTATATGGACCATGTCTTATTTATCTTAATATGTATGAATATTATCACTATTATTCCTATATACTATACACCCTAGTATTTATTGGATAAAGAAATACTTATTATAACAAGGTATTTGTTCATTTATTTCAGGTGAGCATTTGTATTCTTTCAATAAAATATGTGAAGAGATCTAAAAGGATTAAACAGAAAAACACTGGGAAAGATTTGTGATATCAGTGACTAATCCAAAGCTGCCAAAGTTATCTGGGGTAATGACTCCTAAATATTTTAATTTATTTTAAGTGTAGTTCTGTTTTGTATTCTCTCACTCTCTTTGACTTTTCTGGTTTTTAAAAGGTACATTAATAGCAAAATGTCGCTGTACTTAGTTATGATTTTATAAACAAGGGATGAAATAACTAGACAATATAAGCAATTTTTACATAATAAATTAAAAATATTTAGGCGGGAGGAAGACAACACAGGATGGTGAATTTTAAGTTGGCTATTGTGGAAAGTGACATTGATTGTTTTGATTTTAGAAAAGAAAATTTCAAGAAACAACCAAGCATATGAAAACATGCAAATTATGAAAAGTCTGACTAGTGTGGAGAGACTGGTATAGAAAACTAAATAGATAAATTGAGTACAGACCTATGAATAATAAGTGGATATATGAGATTTAGTAAATAAAGAGCCAGTATGTTTCATGAACATGGTAGAGAAAATATCATCAAAACAATGTTCAAAAAAATTATGCTATAAGAATATTTATGAGAAAATAATAAAAGAAAATACTAGAAATAAAGTGACCAAAAAAGAAGTTATAATAATCTATAAATGAAGTAATGAGGACCTGAATAAAAACAGACATAATGAAAATAGTGAGAAAAGTTTTTTTTATTAATTTATTTTTGTTACAGATGTTTCTCCTTTTTTCTCCATTGACACCCTCCTCCCCATCCACCCCACCCCGTCCCCAGTTTTGTTGTCCATGTCCATCGGTTATGCGTACATGCAATGAGAAAAGTTTTTACTATAAGAGACATTTTTAGGAAAACATTACTAAATCTCTTAATAGATTAGATATCAAGTGGAGCCAAGGAAATTCAGGAGTTAAAGTGAACCCCAGGGGCACTAGATTAGTGTTATTTTCAACAGCGAAGAGCATATTTAGCAAAGTGGTTTATTTGGAGTTAGCGTGTAATTGTTCTATTGAACAAACTTTTATTGATGACCAGTTGTGCCAAGGTACTCTGTTGGTCATTGCTGAAATCCAAATAAATAACTAATATCTACCCTCAAGGAACTTTACTATCTTGAAAAGAAGCTAAGGCAGATTTTCAAACTCACCAATATATAGAGGCGAGTTTTCAGGTTTGGCAAAATCTTCTATGTAGGAAATACCCAAAGGCATGATGGGAGTTTCACCAATTCCACGTATCATATTTCCTACTAGTACATACACCCACATTAATGATTTAACTTCCTTCACACATTCTGCATTATAAGAAAAAAAACACATTGCATTAGTGTTTTGATAGTAAAATATGAAGCTATAAGTATAACTATAATTCTAAATTTTTGATAAACATTTCACAATTCTTATGTGACATGACACCTTGTAAAGGATTTATATTACTATGCCAGCACTGACTCACTGCACCATCCCTCTTGCATTTTCTGAGAGTACTTATGTATGGTCAAGTGTGAGTGTTGTGCTGGAGCCATTTCCTACTGGGTTGGAAGAGATATGTATAGTTCTCATCAAGAGATGAGCCCAGCCAGTAAAGTTCATTAGAATGAGTGTTGTCCCATGCACCAAGAAGCAGCTGGTTCAATTCTGGTCAAGGCACACACTGGAGTTGTGGGCTTAATCCCTGGTAGGAGAGATACAGGAGGCAGCTGATCAATGTTTCTCTCTCATTGATGTTTCTCTCTCTCCCTCTCCCTTCCTCTCTCTTTAAAAAAATCAATTAAGAGAGAGAGAGAGAGAGAGAGAAAGAGAGGTGAGTACTATACATCTCTTCCCAATCCAAGGTTTATTGACAACACATTTGCAGTTTCATGGGAGCATTTACACCACTGAAATTGGCAAACACTAGAAGTCAGAGGTAGTTTTCCCTCCTCTTCCCAATCCAAGGTTTATTGACAACATATTTGCAGTTTCATGGGAGCATTTACACCACTGAAATTGGCAAACACTAGAAGTCAGAGGTAGTTTTCCCTCCAGAGAACCAGTTTACCAGCAACTACAAGACCTACTTAGCTGCTATGAGTGCTACTCCACTGCTATACTAATTCTAGTGAGAGAGAAAAAACACAAATATCTCTCTCTAGAATTAATACTATATTTGTAAGATTTAAATAAGAGTCTCACTGAAGTTTCTATTCTCTATAGCTGTAATTACAGACACTAAAAATACCTAACTGGGTATTTTTAAATTACATTTTCTCTATAAAGTCTACCGTGTACTATAACGACCAAACACAGTTTGATAAAAAATTCATGCAAATTCTTGGAGCAGCACCTACTTAGAATAACAGATACTAAGCCAAAGGGAACTAAAAGGGAGGAAGACAGGCAGATCTCTGAAGAATTCGCCATTTCTGTTCTAAGCCAATATAGTTGTCAAGGAGGATACTCTATAGAGTCATATTTTCAGAAAAGTGAATTATATAGCCCAGCCAATGTGGCTCAGTGGTTGACTGTTGACCCATGCACCAAGAGGTCACCAGTTCAATTCCCAGTCTGGTCAAATGCCCAGGTTGTGGACCAGATCCCTAGTGAAGGGCATGCAGGAGGTGGCCAATCAATGTTCTCTCTCATCGTGTTTTCTATCTCTCTCTCCCTCTCCCTTCCTCTCTCGAAAAAAAAAAGTGACTTATAACTTATTCTCATTTACTATAAACTAGCCGGGGGCCACCAAGGTTGGGTCTGGAAATCTCTTGTGATGTCTATCTCTCGGTAGTTTCTAACCCAGAAAATTACAGTCTTCATTTTTAGGTATTCATATTTCTTTCTGTGGTGAGTACAGTGATTTGTGTCTAGATATCATAGGCAAACTCTAGGCCTACTCTAGGGCAAAACTGAAAATATATGTAATCAAAGAAGTAATGCACTTTCCTGGAGATTCGCCAGACTACAAAGTTTTTGTATTTATCTGCTACAGTGCAGATTTTATTTTTCAATAAAAAGAAATAGGAAATAGGACCTAAGCCAGCCTTTGGCAGAAGCCAGCTCAAGAAGAGAGCACAGGACACTGTTAATGTCACTATTTTCCTTTGTTTCTCCAGGGACTTCTGTTGGCTTCGAGTTTCTGAGACAGCTTTCTTATACTCCTTGAAACTATTTTGGGTCCTTCTGATTCCATGCTGGCAGTGAAATTCCCAGCCTTGGGGACTACTGTAAATGTCATTGATAGGAATCAATAGGGTCACCTCCAGACTAAGTATCACCAGATTACATAGGTCCCTTAGCATATGAAAGGCCAGAGAGTTGCACGTTTGTGCCTGGGATTATGGGGAAGCTGGAAGAAGCACCACTACTGTAAAGTAGTGTCTCTGATAAAGATGGAGAAACAAAGACCAGTTCCTAGTTCAGGAGGAAGAGACCAGAGTAAATGAGAACTCTGGCATACTTGCTGCTTTCTCTGATCTGATTAGTGATTTAACACAGATATCTAGAACTTTGTTTCTATATCTATTTCCTATAAATGTATAGAACAGATTATCAGGATAAATCCATTCTTTGAGGATGTTTTCCTCTGTGAAATTAACTTTGTAGTGGCCCTTGGATGAATGTCTTTGACTTGTTCTTTTTTTACTTTTGTTATATTTTCAGTCTGTCTTCCCTCCGCTTGGAGGACATTTATTTAGTATAAAGCATTCTTCCTCTTTTTTTTTTTTTTTACTTAATTAATTTGCTTTTGTTACAGGTGTTTCTTCTCCCCCCCCCCCTCCTGTTCTTGCCTCCCTACCGCCAGCATTGTTGTCTATGTCCATTGGTTATGCTTATACACATAAGTTCTTTGGTTTATTTCTTCCCTCCCCATCACCCCCTCCTCTGAAGTTTGTCAATCTGAACCCTACTTCTATGTCTCTGGATCTAAAAAAAAAAAATTGACTTATTTTTAAATAACCATTTTAAAAAATAGACAAAGAAGTCAATAAATATATTCAAATATATAGAAATAACATTCTTTCCTCTCTGGGATCCCCTCCAAAATCCCTGAAAAAAAGAAAATATCCTTTGTTCCTTTATCTTAGTCACTTAATCAAACCCAATAACTCACACAAAACCCCTTAGCCACATGTGTTCAGTTTCAAATTCACTGAACAGAAAACAATAAAATGAAGCTGACAACCTGATGGATCTTCTGTTGGTTTGAAAATCTGGGTTCCATTTTCAACACACAAGAAACTATTTGAGGACAAATTGCCTAAAACTGTAGATTCATATTCATATCTGTATGAACACAGGAAAAACATGTTTATGTTAGAAACCAATAAAGGCAATGTGAACATTATGCAGAATAATTCCTTCTTCACTTAAGACACAACATCCAAATTTGGTAAAGAACTCTTTTCCTCTCTGCCATCTAATCATCATAAATTAATATTTGAAAACTTGCTTCTCACTATCGATGTGAAGTCTCTTGACATCTAGCTTTCAGTTATTTGCATGTGGATGACCTACCTTTTAGATTACCTAACATCAGGCTTCTGTGGTTTTTAGGTGATCATTTTCTGGAAATAATTACTGTGGGATAAGGGATAAAAACTAAGAAAAATAATAGACTAGACAAAGAATAATTAAGAAGATGAAGGCTTCAGGGGGGAAATTGCAACGCAACAGAACAAGCCTCCAACTTTGGATTCTCTAAGTTTCTTTCATGAGAAATATACCCCCACTTTCTTGTCATCTAAACAATACCTCCTGCATATGTTTATTAACCCCTAAGAGAAATAAAACATTTGCCCTTTATAATGAAAGAATTTAGGAGAAACTCAAACTCTGACCGCACACCATTATGATTTTTACTCTTCTCATAAGAACAAAAGAATTAATAGACTGTGACCATTTATTTACCTTAAGCAAATTACCATAAGATCCACATACCCTTTCTCAGAATGTAAATTATCCGAAATTTATGAAAGAATGGAGGAAAATATGCCCGGTAAAATCTCTCTTTGTTAGAAATTATGTTTGATTAGTTTCTATATTTCTATTAGATAAAAGAAAGCCAAAAGAAAATTTGCTTTCTGAGTTCTAAATGAGCTAGAGTGTTAAAATGCCTTCCCCTTAGAACAACTGCCTAGTCATGCCCATACAGTTTGACTGAGAACTGAGGACAAACACTTCTGTCTCCATACCTGTGACGCCATGAGACATGCCAGCTTCAGACAAAGTAACACCTTTGGAAGAGGGTGGAAAGAAATGTAAACGTAAACACAACTCGGCATTGTGTTGGAGAAGACAGGAAATAAAAGGACAGTAAAAACTCTTTGCCTGGAAACTTCTGATCCCTTCAGAAATACCTGAGAAGATAAAATGTCTTTTTCATTTAACTTATCCACTTAACACCTAATAACTCATTCAAAGTCCATTCATTCCCAAAATGTCAGCAAAATGACAGTGAATGGATTTTAAAATAGAAATGGAAAGGACATAACACCACAAGGATCAAGAGAATGAAAGAGTTGACAAGAAGATTTTGAAAATGGGAAAACAGATGAGTGAATGGTCACTAAAGAGATATAAAAAAAATGCAAACCTAACCTGGCCAGTGTGACGCAGTGGATTGAGTGTTTCCCATGGACTGAGAGGTCCCAGTTCAATTCCTGGTCGGGGCACACACCCGGGTTGTGGGCTCGATCTCCAGTAGGGGACATGCAGGAAGCAGCCAATCAATGTTTCTCTCTCGTATCTATGTTTCTATCTCTTTCTCCCTTCCTCTCTCTCTAAAAAATCAATAAAAACATTTTTTTTTAAAAAAAAATGCAACCCTAAGTAAGTGCCTGTAGGGAGCAGTCAAATAGGTGCCACACATCCCTGGAAAGTTTCAGGCAAGATTTAAGACTGACTTTTCTAAACTTGGAAGTAGGCATGGTCCAAAAAACAAAAAGATTGGTTTAGAATGTGTATAAGGAGCAGTTAGACCCTTACAGACGTCCTCTGTCATTCCAACAGAAAATGATCTTTGTCTTTAGAGTGTCTGAGCAGTTCCATTGAGGATAGAAAGGCCATACTAAAAACAAAGGGTATTAGGATGTTTAAAAAAAAAAAAAAAAAAAAGTAATACTGAAAAGTGAGATTTCCACTCCTACCTGATTGCTAGCCAAGCATCTACCTCTTAGGCAACAGAATGGAGAATCCTTGCCTGTGATAACAGGTTATGGCTGTTCTGAGCCATCTAAAAAAAAGCTAGTCCCTGTATATTTATCATAAAGAAGTCCTCCACTAATCATGTCCCGCACATTTATATAGAACTCCCAGTTAGTTTGTTATTATACCTCTCTCTGAAATATAAACAGATAACCAAGAACCCCCAGATATATGAAAAAACCCTATATCAGTAAAGACAGAGACAAAACAAATAAAACCTATACACTAGGAGACAGAGAGAATGAAGACAGATGAAGGAAATTTAGATGGAAAAAAAAATACACTGCATTTTTAAAAGAAAATAAGATGTTCCTTAAAAGTTACATTCAATAAACAAAAGTCCTCATCATTTAAAATGTGATAGCTGCCCTGGCCAGTGTTACTCAGTGGTTAGAGCATTGGCCTGTGAACTGAAGAGTTGCAGGCTAGATTCCTGGCCCCAGTTGGAGTGCATGAAGGAGGCAACTAATCAATGTGTCTCTCTCACATCAATGTCTCTCTCTCTCTCTCTCTCTCTCTCTCTCTCTCTCTCTCTCTCCCTCTCTCTTTTTCTCCCTCCTTCTCTCCTTCTAAAAAAGCAATGGAAAAAATATCCTCAGGTAAAGATTAACAATGATAATAAAAATAATAATAATAATAATAATAATAAAAAAATGTGATAGCAAAAACTGGAAATCCACTCAAAGATTTGGAAAATAAAATTTAAAAAATCTCCCAAGAAATCAAGGAGATAGAAAATTGAAGAAAAAGTAGAAAATTGAGAAACCCATAAGCTTAATGCAGGATGTACATACAATATTCAAGTAGTAGAAGTTCTAAAAAGAAAGAAAAGTAGATGTATAGGGCATATATTACCAAAGGAATAACATAAGAAACTTTCCAATGTCTAGATTGAAGGCACTTAGCACAATGAAGGCAAAGGATTTACGCCAAGACAGTTATCATGAATCCGGACTTTGCAGTTTAAGAGAAAATTCCAAAGGATCCCAGAGAAAGGAAACTGATCACAGGAGTGAGAATGGCATATGATTCTCAATAGTAACACTGGAAGCTAGAAAATATTGGAACAATATCTTCAAAATTCCTATGGCAAATATTTCCAGTCTAGAATTTTATACCAGCCAAACTCTTAATCAAGGGTGAGAAGAATAAGAATTACTTCCCTTAAATACTTTTTCAGAAACCTATTACACAATGTTTTCCACATTCTTTTGCAAAAGGGAAAGCAGAAGATATGATACCCAGGAAACAAGTTACTGAAGAAAAGAAAGAGGTAAAGCAAATTCCCAAGGATAATGGTGAGGGAACATTTCAACGCAGCCACCATGTAGCAAGCTAGAGAGTTCCCATTTGGATTGTAGATGAAGAGTTGGTGGTGACAGAAGAAATCTCTGAGATAAAAATGAAACCATTTGATATATGTGAGTATATTGAGAAGATGTTGCTCTACCAGTGAAAAGGTTGGAGCTAAAAAGAAAGAGAAACAAAGTTTTTTAAAAATCAGTTATTAAATCCAGGGAAAATAAAAATGTGACATAAGAAAGGAATGATAAAATAGTGAGATAGCCATACATGTGGAAAAAGTAAATATGATTTTACAGTAGAAAGTCAGTATATATGACATAACACTAAAGTATCAAAAATTAAAAGGATAAACATTTAATTAGACATTTGAGGCAAACAGCAGAAGAGAGAGGAAAGATTGTGTGTAGCTGCCTCTGGAAAGTAGTACTATGGGCAATGTCAAAGGGGCAAGTGACAACTCTTGTTGCATTACAAGCCTTTCAATATAATTTTATTTTTACAACCTTGTACACATATTACTTTAACAAAGTTTTAAATAAAAATCAAACTTCAGACTAATCTGTCTCTTGGTGACCTACAATTAAACAGAACCTCATTATAATGAGAAGTATCTAAATAGTCCAAAGAAAGGAGTAATTTATGGTTTTGCAAGGTCCTAAAAATATTTTCATCAGACTCAGCTCCATAAAAAAGGTGCCCCAAATCTCTATATCATAAATTAACAAAATGTATGTGACTGTGTAAGTGGAAGCAAGGCAGCCAAGAGCAGGAAACAGACAGGAGGAACAAAACCCGCTTCTTCCCATTTCCATTACAGTGCTCTGTGTTTGGGGGAAGCGTTGTTCCTAGAAAGGAAATTCCAAGCTTCATTTCCTGCAGTTGAAAACTGAACCGAAAACGTCATCAGAGACTGAATGCTTACCGGTCCATGAGGAAATGAGGTAGAGACTGTAAGAAACACCCTAGGCCCATAACCGCACATCCGACACCAATCATTATAGGTCTGTGAAATTTAGTTCCAAAATAACTCACAAATATAATCAAGAAAAGATTTCCTAGAGGAAAAAAATGAGGTACAAATAAATATTTCAGTAAGTATGTCCAATGGCTTCATGAGCAGCCTAATTCAATCATTTACTATCTAGCATTCATTGTATAAACACTATCTCCACTACTGGGATTAGTGCTAGGGATTCCATGAAACAAATGAATAAGACACAACCCCTGCCCTGAAGGAGAGCTACTTTACAATGTTGAAAGATACATAAACAGATCTCTGTGTCACACCGACAATTTAAAAGGGCAGAGAAAGGGAATCCAGTGGAAGAGCCTGAAGAATGGTTCTGGGAAATCGTAAAGGCTCTCTTGGTGATTATCCAGCCTTAGGAAGTACAATGCAGAAGTGGTCAGTGGCGGCCTCCCCCTCCACACCTGCTCCCCAGAATATCGTGATGTTTCCCTATGCTTGAAAAAGAAGCACAAGTCAAACTCAGATAGATATGTGTTTTATAACTTATTATTAAAATATAAATTTATATTGGTCAACACAACCAAGCCAGAGATCTGTGTTTATTTCTACTTCTTTCCTTAGAGGTAAAAGATAGTGGAGTCCCCACTTGCCAACTGCTCTTAGAAGTAAGTCGGAATCTGAGGAGTCAATAACTCAAGGAAAAATTGATTCCTGTGTCTGAGGGTAAAGAAACTAATTGAGGAGGCCCTATTATTTTGGATAAGCTCTTGGTAAGTATGGAGTAAAGGGTTGAAAGAGTCAAACATATGAGGATGTTCTCAAATCATACATTTTTAATCCAATAATAAATATGTATTTACCCTGATCCTACTATATATAAGGAAAGTGTCTATGATGAACTTAAGGATTATTAAAAAATTTTTAAACTCTTCCTGTAAAAAGTAATAATTTTATAAGCCATGTTGTACATTTTGAGAACTTTTCTTTCCATATCTGTTTCTCTCTTGTCTGTCTCCTCAGTAGAAGAGATGTTTTTTAATGGCCAGTGCCCCACCTCTATAGCTATAGCAGCCACACTGACCACTCTGGGCATCTAAAATCCCCATTACCTGGTAACTAGACTTATTGTGGTGATCATTTCTCAGTGTATACAAATATCAAATCACTGTTGTACACCCAAAAGTAATATAATAATTTTGCATGTCAATTTTACTTTAAATAAGTAAATAAATACATAAATAAAGTCCCCATTATTAAAGCCATCTATGTTGAAGGTGTTGTCTCCAAAAGGCCACTGTTTAAAATCCACATATAATTTTAAAAAGAGAGAAAAGGAGGTGATGTTCATCCTCACATAAGGGTGAGTTTACACTGCCTTGTTGGTAGAATATCCCTCACCATAATAGACAAGAATATACAGATAAGTTTTGTCAAGGGTGTGGAGAACTCTGTAAATATTATTGAGGGAAGATAAGCAAAGTGATGCTTTTATTGTCATCTATAAATGACCTCTCCTTTCCCCCTCAACAACTCTTTCAGGTCTTCATCCTTCTCCTCAAGCCACCTCTCACCAAACACTTTCCATACTTATTATTCTCTCCTTTGTCATGTGGGGCAGTCCAACATGAAACTGTCTGAGTTCCCCACGCTATGGCCTTATCACCTTCCTTCCATTTCAGAGATTGGGCTGCCCATCCGGACACCCAAGATCAAACAAACCACCTAGGCACTTCACGTCCATCCTCTCCAGAAAGGCATTCCGATCATCAGACTCTTTCTCATACATTGTAAGCCTCTTTCTCTATGCTGGGTTGTGGTTACAGTGTCCCCGAGTTCCTCTCCACACTAACATTCACCTGTATTCACAGGTTCCCTTTCTGCCCCTGCCAACGTCTCCTGCAGTCACTGCTCTCTCTTTGCGTTCCAGCGTCTAAGCACACTCGGTAGCTGGAAGTGCCCTGGAAAAGATCAGCAATTACCTCACTATAAAACCCAAGGAATCCTTTTCTATCCTTATCTAACTGCATATTTCTAATGCGTTTGATACAGTTGACAATTTTTCTTTCTTTTGGAAATTTCTACTCCCTTGGCATCTATAATTCCATTTTCTCCTGTTTCCCCTCTTAATTCTCTGACTAATCCTTTTCTTAACACTTCCATGGGCTCCTTTCTCGCACCTGTTCCTTAAACTTCGGTGTACCTCCAGGGTCCATTCTCTGTGCATTGTGTTATCACCCTGTCTCCTCTCCCTGACTAGCCTCATCTCCTCTTTAGTTTCAATAGCCACTCATTTACTCACTAATCAATAGTTCCAGCCCAGAGAGTTCCCTAATGCTTCAGACTCAGACGACTACAATGTGGGCTCTGCTACCCGAAGGTATCACTGGTACTGCCCAAACCAGAACTCATCATTGTCCCCATAGCCACCACCATAATCTTGTTCCCCTTCCCCTATGCTCTGTCTTAGCACTGCTACCCACTCCACTGCCTAAGATGTAAACCAAAGAACACCCTCTCTTCTCATCTGCCACATCCAATCTGTCATTAAGTTCTCTGGAATGTAACTCTTGAATATTTCTTTCGGCCACCCTCTCCATTTCTACCAGTACGATCCTGACTCAAGCTCAGCAAGTTCTTTCTTTTGCTTTGGCATGTGCCTCCTGGGATCCTCTCTGACCTAGCCTGGTAGGTCATCTTCCCATCTCTCACCAACACAGCCACAAGCATGGCCCTGCTAAAAGCAAATCTGATCCTGGCTTTAAACAAGCGGTTCTTAACCTGTAGTCTATAAACCCCTGAGGTGTCTATGGATAGAAATTATGGGTTCCATGAACTTGAGTGACAAAACAAAATTCCATTTTTTCACTAACTTTTAACTCAATATTAGCATTACCTTTGACGATGAAAGTACACAAACTATAGTAGTATTAATGGTACATGTGATTTTGTCGCAGATTGACACCAATTGAAGTTATAGGTGTTTGCTTATGATATTCCAGTTCTTGTGGATACCTCAAAATACTATTTAATGTGTTAATAAGCCCCGATATTACTACATGACAAAGTTGTTTTAATATTTTGATAATTTTAATTCTAATTGGTTTCCTTTTACCCTTATGGTTTTTATTTTATATCATTTAAAATATTATTCTGAGATCATATAGCACAGATTGCCATAGAGTCCTCGGCACAGACATATTAATAACCTCTCCCAGTCTCTTAGTGACTCTACGTTACCGAGAGGATAAGGTAAGTTCCACAGCAAGCACACAAGGCTAACCATAGCCCATTTCTCCAAACTAATATCTTAATACATTATACCTGTTCTTCTATTGGAATTCCCTTCACACTAGTCTAACCCTGTTTTTCACCTGAAAAATGTTTACTCATCCTTCAAGAACCTATCTTCCCTAAGTGATGTTGCATCCCCGCTCCATATTCTTATTCGACCTTGCATATACTTATGTCACCAAACTTACTGAATTCACTTAAAATTATTATTTTGCATCTGTGCCCTCCATTAGACCATATACAAAGCGATATAAGAATTATTTCTAACTCCATCACCAGGATCTAGCCTACAGGTGATACAGGGGGCAGAACACTAGAAGACAGCATCCTAGAAACCTTCCTCACTAGAAAACCTTCCTCAGTTTTGCCTCTCCTCAATCCTGATTTCTCCTTCAGATATTGATTAAATATATTAAAGGCAACTTTTACCTTGAAGGAAGTAGAAGCCATAATAAAAACTCTAAAGCAGTGGCAGTCATATCTCTGTGCAGAATGTTCACAGGAGAAATCTTTCTCTCCCTCATTCTTCCTTTCTTTCCTCACATCTTCCCAGTCATCCATAAAAAGCAGGGCCTAAGACTTTATTCTTCCCTAAATTCAGAGAGGTGTGAAAGCAGTTTCTTTTTCGCTCTGCACTTTAAAGAATTGTCAATTTCCCAGAAACAACAGGAGAAGGGAAATATTTACTTTTTTCCTTTGGAAAACAAATTCCTTTGTTTCCCATTATATCTTCCATGTATAAAGATAGAGCCCTTCAGTTATCAAATGACAAACTAATGTAAATATTCTAAATACTTAGCTACTTATGCTATATAACCAAAAACTATTAGAATACAACATCCAGTGGTGGGATATGTGGCAATATTTAGGTGTTACTCAGAAGTAATATTTAAAGCATATTCTACGCATATTCCCAAATCTATTCAATCTGTTTCAGAAAATATACTGTTCAGTAAGATTAAGTGGCATAAAACAACAGCTAAGGAGAATAAAATTCAGACTAGTTCTATAGATAAAATAAAATATAAAAGGAAGAAACATGCAAATAATTCCTTACCAATCTCAAAGCTACCATTAATAAATCCAACTAGTGATGTCGGGATGTTGAATTGTCTCTCTATTTGTGTGAGCATGGAATTCATATAAGATCCAGAGAGTGTTTTGGATACAAATGCACATGTTATTGCCAACAGAAACATCTAAGGAGAAGAAAATTCATAAGAAAACATGAATATTTTATTTTTTAATTGTATGTTTACCACCTGTTGACAAAATACCTTCTACCACAAGACTGATTGTCTTCAACTTAAATAACCCTTGAATTCATAAGAAACTTAATGTTATTTGCTCTTCTGGTCTTTCATGTCATATTTTCCCTTTGAAAACTCAGAGTGAGATTAATTGATTAGTGATACTGAATTTTATATGTAGTTGTATCCTCATTATCTTATAGACTCATTTTGTACATACATAGAAACAGTCATTTAAAATAAGATATAGCTAATGATTTAAACAGAACTTCAGCGCTACAATGCTATCGTTAGTACAAAGAATATATGTATGTTAATGCAAAAAAGGAATGTTACAGTACACAAAAACATTACTTCTGTTGCAAATTTGCTCACCGTCTTTCTTATTCAAAGTAATATGCAAATTATACATTAGATTACTGCTCATTGCCAGTTAATTTATTTAAAGCAATATTTTAATTACAAACTATTATAAAAATGTTTCTAAACAGAACAGGCACTTGCTATGATAAACAAATATGAATATTATAGATTTCCATATATTGAATCCCATTTTATATATATTGATAGAGTTCCAGAGAGCAATCAGGTTGGAGCAATTGGTAACAAAACCAAGGACAACTTAACAAATACAAGTGTTCTGCCCACCAGGAACTGGTATGGTTTTACTGAAAATCTGAGAACTTAAAATTTTGATAGTTTTATTAAATTGGAACAAAAAAGACTTAGATTTTAGTAAAGGATTTGAAAAAGAAACATTGCATACTGTATAGTAGTATAATTATGTGAATTAATTGCTGCTTCAAAATCAACAGATCAGAGATAAATAGATTTAGGTCAATATTTTATGGTGGGCTCCAATTCTATACCATGGGGCTTTCTCCTTGGTCTTATTTAAAGATATTTCCTGGTGACACTGGGAGACCATTCAATCTCTTCTCTAGCCAGCACACTCAATCCCTATATGGTTGACAAGATAGTACGGCTATATCTCTAGTTATTTATCCTTTTGTAGTAAAAACCACGTGTAGAAATTCTGTCTCGATTCACACTAGAGATTTTTGCAGAGCACATTATTAACAGAAAAGAGTTTTCACAATCCAGGTTTTGTATTTAAAAGCAAGGTCTACCAAATAAAAGACAGATTATATTTGGTAATTTATTTATTTAACATTTTAAATATACTTTTAATTTATGAATTTCAGAAAGAGGAAGAGAGAGAGACATTGATTTGTTATTCCACCCATTTATGCATTTATTTGTTCTCCTGTTTATGCCCAACAGTAGATTGAACCCCAACATTGGTGCATCCGAGTGATGCTCCAACCAAGCTACCCAGCCAGGGCTTTTTAACATTTTGAGAATGGAAACTAGATAAACCACATTCCCAATGCTCTTTTCCTAAAACACTTACATGGGGGCCTAAACAATTGAATTTTATTTACAGAGGGAAAGCAACCAGTGACTATTGTGACTCATATTTAGTGCAAAAAACCTCTATATTTATAAAGTTAGTCCTACTAATTTTCAACCAAAATGCTTCAGAATTTGAAGCAAATATAGACAACAATCCTTTGATGCTTTCTAAAAAAAAAAAAAAATGTTGCTATATAAGCACATTTTTGAAGTTCAGAGCAAAAAAGTAAGCTAGTCAAAGAAAGGCAAATACAATATTACTTCATTTATATGTGGAATCAAATGAACAAAATAAACAAGAGAATAAAATAGAAGCAGACTCATAAATACAGAGAAAAAACTGACAGGTGTCAGAGGGGAGAAGGTTAGGAGGCTGGGTGAAAAGATGAAAGAATTAAGCAAACAAAAACTCATAGACACAACATAGTGGTTACCAAAGGGAAAAAAATGGGGTGGGTGCAGGTAGAGGAGGGTAAACGGGGGGAAATGGTGACTGTAGACTAGACTTTAGGTGGTGAACACACAATACAATATACAGATGATGTATTAAAGAATTGTATCCCTGAAACCTATATACTCATATTAATCAATGTAACCCCAATATATTCAATAAATATATAAAAATTAATAAATCAAGGTATTATATTGATTCCTTCAGGTTTAATATAATCAAACCAATGTAAGCAGAGCACATTTTAAATTATTGTGATTTGTTATTCACACTGTTTGAAAAATATATGGTTGTTATACACACACACAAAACCAAATTATTAAGCAATGCCCTCTCAATTTTACCTGATAAACTTCTGCTTTCAATATTTTGCCATAACATTCAAATCAGTGTCTAATCTTGCCAAACTCCAAAGAGACCAAAAATTAAAGACCAACTGTTTATAACACCTGACTTGACTTTTATCCACAAATGCTACTAATAATAAATAGCTAATATTTATTGAATTTTTACAATGTTACAGTCGTTATTTCAAGCATGTAAAAAGAAAAAGTCCTGTGAGGTAAGTGTATTCTATTAGTCTTTCCAGAGGAGAAAACTGAGGCACAAAAAGGTTAAGCAACTTAAAATACTACACTGTGTCCAAAGAATATTCCAAATGAAGGAAGTACACAGTTGAATTCAAACGCAGGGGGCCTTGATCCTTATTTTTAACCACTTGGTTTTAGAAGGACATGATAATTGGAGGATAGTTTAAAGGGAAATTTAAAAAATATAATAAGTGTGGCATTTTAGGCAAAAATAGTTTTCCAGATCTATATCATAATTTCCCACTTTCATGTACATGCAGAGATTTTCCCTACACACATATAAAGAGAAAATAAATTTTGACAAGGAAAAAAAATTAGTGGCAGTGTCTTAGTTTGGAAACCACTTTTAGGCACCAGCTGTGGAATCAAGTTAAATAACCAGATCCCTTGGTTTAAAGCAAAATCAGATTTTGTTTGAAGGCAAAGTGCAAAAAAAAAAAATTGCCATGAAATAGCCAAGATATCAGAAACAGCTAACAAAATGTGCATTTTTCTTATAGAGAATGATTGGCATGCTGCCAAAACTTTAAGTAAATATTTATGTTACTGGGTCATCGTGGAATAATCACTGCACATAGATCAACAATCATTTCTGTCTAAGAAGCCATTTTCCAGGAGAGATCTCCACATTCCTCTGGTCTAAAAACCCCTGAAAGGTGGGCATTTAACTGGCTTTTGATTCAGAAAAATGAGTCCTGCTATAACATAACATTAGTATGTCTGAAAAATTTAAATAACTTTTTTTCCATTTAACTTCACTAAAACCATCTCTGATTAAATTGCCTGAATCAATAACTCTTTTTAGACATACTTTCATTTACTAAACAGACTTCATTATAGCAAGAAATTGTCACCATATCAGGTAGCAGGACAGAAATATTAGATCACTTCATGAATATATGAACAACTTTATAAGGTCTAAGTTAAAAAAATATATAGTACACATACATTTATACATACACAAAAATTCCATACCTTCAACTTGGAAAGACATCTTATTCTATGGGTTTCAATTTTCTCAGTTTCTCCCATGTTGCTCTTCTGAGTATTCCAACGTTTTTATGAGTTAAATCTTTATATTTCTTAGATCTTTTGTTTAAGAAAGCAAAAATATATTAAATTACTGACAAAATCATAAGTTGTCATTCTTTGGAAGAAAATACTGAATTTGAATAACATAATCAGAATCCTTTGTATTATAATAATACCTGGGGAGCTTTTGATCCAGATCTAGAAAATAATGACTTTAAAGAAGATTTAGTTGTTAAGTTTCCATTGAAAAAGTTACATCAGCCCTGGCCGGTTTGGCTCAGCGGAAAAAGTTACATCAAATAACTTTAGTTACTTTTTAGTGAGATTAAAGATAGATTTGTTATGGTGCTCTTACAAAATAATGACCATGTGATTAAAAACAAAACAAAACACTTTTCATTTCTTTAACCAAAACAAATAGAACCAAAGTGCACTTCTTTGGACTTACGTGAAAATGCTCCTTTTAAGAACACACAGACTTTGATTTGTGTTTGTGTTAAAAGTCTGCTTCAGCCAGCCTACCAAAGTTCAAAAATCTCTTTTTGGCTAAGCTCCCTCTTCAAGTTCTTTGCGTTCCAATACTTCCCTGGAGTTTCAAGAAGGGAAACACTTTCTGGGGCACTGCTGATTCACGGAAACCTGGGGAGACATGGAATTTTAATTATGGAACTAGCGTAAGTAAAAATAACAAATAATTCTATGATCTGGAAAAGAATCCTACAGTTGCAGATGAAGATATGAGATTTAGGAGAAAACCAAACATGTAAGTACAGATCTATATGTTTACATGTGTAATAAATACAGATATATGTGTATCTATATGCATATATTAATTATATAGGCACACATTTTTATATGTAGAAAAAAAAGATTATTTAAACTCTATTCTATTTTACCAACCTCTTTCAAAGTTGTGTCTATTTTGTGTCTTGAATCTAGAATATTTTGTATCAAAACCAAAGTGTTTCACTATGATAATATTTATTCTAGTAAATCTACTTTACATTAAGAGAATAATATATTAGCAGTATCCCCACAGTTCATTTATTAAAATCTTCTGAACAATATCCATTTAACAAGTGATCCTGAATGCACTAATTTTTGAAAATCATATGCTTTACCACTATAAATTTGCTGAATCCCACTCCCCTACATATATTAAGGCAATAGCCACTGAACAATTGATGAGCTTAGTTCTCTTTACTCATTCTGTCATGGATACTACTACACATTAAAAATCTACTGTGTGCCGGTCATTGTGTTAAGCACGGGATTTCAGAAATGAACAAAACAGACAAGCTGTCCTATAGACAGTATAAACTAATTAGAGAAGTGTAAGGCTCTATGGAAAGTACTTGAACCCAAATCTCAAGGAACCTATATTTTTATCAGGAAAGGTAAAAGTTTTAAATAAAACATACTGGAATAGAACTAAACAGTGTATGATCAAATACAAATGTTTTGGTATGTAAGAGATAAAGAAATTCATAGGTCATGAATGACAATTATTAGAAACACTCTTGGAAATTCTAAATGGTCCCACAGAATGCACTCATGCTGAAATCTCCACATAAAATGTAAAATCACCTTAACTATAGTTCAAGTACAAGCCACTAGTTTAAAAAAGGGGGGGGGGGGGGTAGAATAAGATAATTTTTCAAATGAATGGAAACTCTTCTTCTTTGACCCTCATTTATAATACATATGCTTTATTCTTTTTTTAAAATTCATCTTCACTGTTGAAAGTACTGCAGATGTCCCTCCTTTATTAACCCAATGACACTCCCCTTTCACGTTTCCTTCTCTCTCTCCTCGCCAATATCTGAGCCCAGTAGAGTCACCCAATCAAACAATAAGAGGGGGAGAGAACTTATTCCTCTTCCATGTCAAAGTTGTTTTCACTCTTTTTAGTGGCTAAAGACATGACTCTTCTGACTGCCTCTCTTTTCCTATCTGACCAGGGCACGTGGAATGGGGAGTTAGACACAGGAGATGACCACGTAGAGGAATTCTATAGTTCCTTCCTGACACTGCGGAACCATTTCCAGCACATTTTATCACCAAGCCTCAAAGATTTGTTTCAAAATGTGTTTATTCTCTTGAGAGATGTCTTATAAACAAATGTGCTGACTGGGATAAGCGGCAGTGTCTGAAATTAAGCACTTGGAATGAAGTAAGTGTGATTCAATTAACACTAAACATTTTCTAATTTGCCAATCTGTAGAAAACATTTTAGCTTCCCAGACACACTTTTTACATTTTAACAGAGAAAAATAAATTAATTAACGAATAAAATCTATTATGTCCATTTAATAAAATGCATGAAATCTAATAGTTTATATTACAAAAACTTTGAGCACTTTGGCCCCAAATCAGGGAAAGCTCACATTGTTTCTTCACATCCTCGTGAAGTGCAGTGCCAGCCATGTGAACAATCCACTTTTGTTAGCCCAGGGTTGTTTACATGGTGATTTTTCCTCCGGAGAACACAGTGTCAGAGACAAATCCGTATCAGTCATCACTGCTAATGAAAATGACTTGCAGAAGCTTTATTAAGAGGAGAAGCATTTTATTTCTCCAACCCCTTCTTCTCAGCATTCAGAGTGGAGCAAGCAATTCTTCAGTATGCATTCTCACAAAAATGGAGTTGCACTTCTTCCACGACTACTGATCACAATGTTGTTTCTTTGTTTCGTTTTATTTTCTTTGGACTCAAAGCACATTAAAGAACTGCTCATTATATGCACATTATTTGGACAGAGGTCTCTAGAACTCTTTCATCTTACATGACTGGAATTCTGTCCCCACTGAACAGCAACACTCGGGTTTTTGACAGCCCTGGGTTGCCAGCCTTAACAAGTCTCAATCACAAGAGAATACAGTTTTTTACAAAACAAATAAATAACCTTGTGTGTGCTCTTTCCCCAGTGTTAAGCATATGGACAAAGTTATTTAAGGCTACAAATCACCTGGGGAAAGGCATACATTTAATTTCACATTATAGTATTGAATTAACAAAATAAAAGCTTTACTTTATCATGGCAAAACTAGTAGTACATACATGAAGAAGACTTAGGAGCACATCCTTTCCCTGGGGGTAAAAAGAGAGAAAGAGTCATACCAGCAACAATCTTAAGATAAGTGTTTATTTCCAGAATGTTCAAATGGCTCCTCCCTCTGCAAGAAGAGGACCGTCTCTTGGGAGTATCCAGCTGAAATAATTCAGCCAATATCCAACCAAACAAGCTTGTGCCAATGGAGTACACGTGGAACAATGACTCTTTGTATAATGCCTACCAAATTATTTTCCTTCTATTAGTTTATTTTCATCAGAAATAAAAAAAAAGATATTGGATTCTTAAAATAAGCCTTACAAATACAGGTATTATTTTACTTCCTATATTCAGAGGAGGTATCAGGAATGCATCACTCTAGGCAAAACTAGAGGAGAAACCTAACTGAACCATAGGACCATACATGTAGGTTTCTCCACACAAACCAAATAGTGAAACGCACAGAAATACTAGCAAAAGCTGCCATCAGCACCTCAACAATCAATATCCCTACCCTGCTACTTTAGATAATGCACTGTCTGATTCTGGTAATAGACCAAGACATGGAAAAGCAAAGCTGAAACTCGACTTCCCAAGTCTTTATGAGAACCAGTTGTAACCATCATTAGTGTTATATCCCATTCCAAGTAATGCTAGAGAATGATCAGGTAACCAAGGGAGCAGCCCAACTTTTCTACACTGGCAATTTAAACTGTTTCATTTCTTTTTTTTTTTTTTTTTTTTTTTTATCCTCACCCGAGGACATTTTTCCATTTTTTGTACAGATAGAGCGGGAGGGAGAGAGAGGAAGGGAGAGAGAGAGAGAAACATCGATGTGAAGGGACACATCGAGTGGCTGCCACCCGCACGACCAACCAGGGCCGGGGACAAACTGCAACCGAAGTACGTGCCCTTAGCGGGAACCGAACCCGGGTCTCTGCGGACCGCAGGCTGACGCTCTAACCGCTGAGCCAAACTGGCCAGGGCTAAACTGTTTCATTTCTTAAAAATTTTATCTCAATTTCTTTTCTTCCTTTTGCCTGTACACATGTAGTTTTGGATACAAAAACATGTTCCTTCACTGAATTATGACAAGTAAATACTGAACTGTTCCTTTTTCTCATAGAGAAAGGATTTTTTATTTGTTTATAAATCTCCCAAAATAACTGAAAATTCAAAATGTTTAGATTTTTCCCCAACCCATGTATTTATGTATTTGTCCATTCTCATTAATGGATATAGGAAGGCAGCTAGATATAGTAAAACATGTCAGACCTTGAACCCCAGTTAGCTTGGATTTTGTCTTAGTTTAGTTGTGAGTTGTTTAAACTTGTTGAGCATTTTTTGTTTGTTTTACTTATCTATGAGTACTGGAATATTTATGCCTATCTTGCAAGATTACCATAAAGATTGAGTTGTAAATTTTACATGAGACCAACCCCTAGCATAGCTGCTGGAATAAAATAGTCACTCTGTAAATGGCAGTGATTATTATTCATTCATTCCACAAATATTTATTAAGGCTCTACTACATTCCAAGCACAGTAGTTGGTGCTAGGGATACAAAGATGAATAACATTTGTGCTTTCTCACAGCGGTCTCACAAGCTATTGGGAGAGATAGACAATTAAATGATAATAATAGCTACTTAGTGCCATAATGGAGACAGTTTGAACTAAGTAATAAGAAGCGGTGATTAATGAAAACTATTTGGATATTCATTTGGAATATCCTTTGGATACAGTGTAGTAGTTTAAGTAGTTGGGCTTTGAAATGAGGCACAACTGAGTTGAAAGCCTGTTGTTCAACTAGTTGTGTGATGTTTATACAAGTCACTTATCTATCCTTACAATGAAGATAGTCTCTATCTTTATATCAGACAAGAAAATAGACAAAGACAGGAAAAAGAGAACCTTTGACAGGTATTTCAACAGAGGAACTTAACATTCTAGGAAACTAGTTACAAAGGTATCCAAAGAATTACAAAACCAAACCGGGCAGGTGGTGGATAACCCAGAGATATGCGCCAGTGGGAGGGCACTCCTAAGGCTGTACCAGAAAGGGAAAGGAGCCGAGCTGCAGGACACACAGCTACTTCTTGACAGAGGCACTTCTTAAAAGTGGAGAGGGAGAAATGCCCTGGCTCTCCCTTCTCCAAAACTCCATTTTCATACCAATACCTCCCACTGAGGACGCAACAGGAAATCAGATGCACAGGAGCCTGGGAAATTTACTTTTTCCAGACAGTCCCTTGGGACAAAGATAGGATCAGAGGATAAGAAAAAATGCATGTGAGGCTAAGAAAACAAATGACTGCCACAACTATAATCAATTGGAGTAGTGTTAAATAACATAATAAATGCTAAATATGTAATATGGAAATATGTAATATGTTGCTAACACACAACATTCAGTAAAGGGTAGCTATTTATATCAAGTAATATACCTTCAACCCTTAATGCTCTTTTTATTCTCAGTAATAGAGGATTCAGGAGATTTAACTAGTTGCATAATTAGCCAGCTCTCAACATTATATATATAGATACTGCAATCTATATGTGATACCAAATAAGATATGAGATTTTG